AATTTTATGAAAATTTTCTATATAAAACAGAAATTTTGTGAAAATTTTCTATAGAAAAGAGAAATTTTCCGAAATTGTCTATAGAAAAGAGAAATTTTCCGAAATTTTTCTATAGAAAAGAGTAATTTTCTATAAAAAAGAACAAATTTTCTATAGAAAAGAGAAATTATGTGAAAATTTTCTATAGAAAAGAGAAATTTTCCGAAGACAAGAGAAAATTTTCTATAAAAGGAGAAAAATTTTTGAAATTTTTCTATAAAAAGATAAATTTTCTTAAAGTTTTCCCAAAATTTTCTGTAAAAGATCCAATTTCCGAAATTTTTTACAGAAAAGAGAATCGAAGAATCGAAAATTTTCTTTAAAAAGAGAAATTTCCCGAAAATTTTCTATAGAAAGATAATTTTTATATAGAAAAGAGAAATTTTATGAAAATTTTCTATATAAAACAGAAATTTTGTGAAAATTTTCTATAGAAAAGAGAAATTTTCCGAAAATTGTCTATAGAAAAGAGAAATTTTCCGAAAATTTTTCTATAGAAAAGAGTAATTTTCTATAAAAAGGACAAATTTTCTATAGAAAGAGAAATTATGTGAAATTTTCTATAGAAAAGAGAAATTTTCTATAGAAAAGAGAAATTTTCGAAAATGTTCTATAGAAAAGAGAAATTTTCCGAAAATTTTCTATAGAAAAGAGAAATGTTCCGAAACTTTTCTATAGAAAAGAGAAATTATCCGAAAATTTTCTTTAAAAAGAGTAATTTTCTATAAAAGGACAAATTTTCTATAGAAAAGAGAAATTATGTGAAAATTTTCTATAGAAAAGAGAAATTTTGTGAAAATTTTCTAAAAAGAGAAATTTTCGTAAATGTTCTATAAAAAGAGAACAGAAATTTTGAGAAAATTTTTCTATAGAGAGGAGAAATTTTCCGACAATTTTCTATAAAAAGGGAAATTTTCTATAGAAAAGAGAAATTTTATGAAAATTTTCTATAGAAAAGAGAAATTTTATGAAAATTTTCTATAGAAAAGAGACATTTTCCGAAAATTTTCTAAAGAATGAGAAATTATGTAAAATTTTCAATAAAAAAGAGAAATTTTGTGAAAATTTGCTATAGAAAAGAAAAAGTTTTCAGAAAATTTTATATAAAAGAGAAATTTTCCGTAAATCTTCTATAAAAAGAAAAATTTTCTATAGAAAAGAGAAATTTTATGAAAATTTTCTATAGAAAAGAGAAATTTTATGAAAATTTTCTATAGAAAATAGAAATTTTGTGAAAATTTTCTTTAAAAAGAGAAATTTTCTGAAAATTTTCTATAGAAAATTAAAATTTTCCGAAAATTTTCTACAGAAAAGAGATATTTTATGAAAATTTTCTATAGAAAACAGAAATTTTATGAAAATTAGCTTGAAAAGAAAAATTTTCAAAAAATTTTCTATTAAAAGAGAAATTTAAATTTTTTTTTATAAAAAATAGATTTTTTTTCAACAATTTTTTATAAAAAAGATCATTTTTCCGAAATTTCTATAAAGAAGAAAATGTTTCTGAAATTTTCCATAAATTTTTATAAAAAGAAAATTCTTTAACAGAATTGCTTTAGTTTGTTTCAAAAATAACGGTCTTTTACAACAAAAACGTTTTTTTACTGTACCCCTAACAATACAACTATGCCGTCACCTTACCAAAAAATACAATCCTGTTAGAGTGAGGTGAATATACAGAAAGCTTGACAATCAGCTGTTTACTTTTTTCCTTCTATGACAGACCGACGAATTTTTTTAACATACACCTGCGAAATTACAATTTTTTGTCTAAATATCGAGAAAAATATAATAAATTAATTAGAAAAATGTCTTTTTTGGCGCGTGGAATAAGCCTGGTGGCGCGCCAGCCTAGTCTCATCAATAATTTAACAAGTAATTTACTAATTTCATTGATAATTAACTAAAATTAACATGTGTTTTCCTTTTCTTGTTAATACAAGATTCCATGAGAGCATTAAGTGTTACGCCACGCTTTTGTCAGCAAGCCAAATTGGTTACACAGGATATAGCGCCCGTTAAGGAGATTACCAAGGAGGAGCAAGAGAAATGTGAACAAGTGTTAGCAAGGTTAATCAAGAATTAGCAAGAAGGAAGAAGGCCGCCTGTTCGCTGTGGTACACTTATGCCGGCAAACAATTTAAGGTAACAGCCGGCGATATTATTTTGGTCGAAGGCTATTGGCCACCCACCATAGGCGATGAAATACGTTTGGAAAAGGTATTACTGGCAGGAGCCAAAGATTTCACCTTAATTGGTGCCCCTTTATTGGAACCCGGTTTGGTGGATTTAAAGCCACCATTATTGAAAAAACCCTAACACACACTAAGACCCATTTCAAGAAGAAGCGCAGAAAGCAATATTTACGTATTAATTTCCAAAGATCACCCAACACCATGATACGTATCAATTCCATAGAGGTGACACGCAAAGTGGATGAACCCAGTAAACAGCCTTTGAATGAAAATCGTATCTTTTAAGAGTTTTCTTTAACGTTGAGTAAGAAATTAGTAGAACATTAAATGATTTCTTGTGCTAAAACATTTATTTTGTTATAATTTTTATTTCTATAAGAGATTGATTAATGAAAGCTTAACATTAGTTATTTTATCTTTGTGTATATTGGATATATTGCACTTGAAATGTTAAATAATAAAAAAAAAATAATAAATATTAAAAATAGAAACAAAAATGGCAATAAGAAATGTTAAAGACAAATGAGAACTCATGGGGGAAGAAACACAAATAACAACCAATTTTCTATAAGAAATTTTCTTTAGAAAAGAGAATTTTTCCTAAATTTTTCTATAAAAATGAGAAATTTTCCGAAAATTTTCTATAAAATAGAGCAATTTTCCAAAAATTTTCTATAAAATAGAGCAATTTTCTGAGACTTTTCTATAAAAAAGAGAAATTTTTCTATAAAAACGAAAAATTTTCCGATTTTTTTTTTTAAAAAAAGAGAAATTTTCCGAAACTTTTCTATAAAAAGAAATTTTCCGAAACTTTTCTATAAAAGAGAGAAATATTCCAAATATTTTCTAAAAAAGAAGAACTATTTCGAAAATTTTCTATAAAAGAGAGAAATATTTCGAAAATTTTCTATAAAAGAGAGAAATATTCCGAAAATTTTCTATAAAAGAGAGAAATTTTCCGAAAATTTTCTATAAAAAGAGAAATTTTCCGAAAATTTTCTATAAAAAAGAGAAATTTTCCTAAAAAACGAAAAATTTTCCGAATTTTTTTTTATAAAAAGAGAAATTTTTAAGAAACTTTTCTATAAAAAAGAGAAATTTTCCGAAACTTTTCTATAATAAGAGAAATTTTCCGAAACTTTTCTATAAAAAAGAGAAATTTCCGAAACTTTTCTATAAAAAGAGAAATTTTCCGAAAATTTTCTATAAAAAGAGAAATTTTCCGAAAATTTTCTATAAAAAAGAGAAATTTTCCGAAAATTTTCTATAAAAAGAGAAATTTTCCGAAAATTTTCTATAAAAAAGAGAAATTTTCCGAAAATTTTCTATAAAAAAGAGAAATTTTCCGAAAATTTTCTATAAAAAAGAGAAATTTCCGAAAATTTTCTATAAAAAAGAGAATTTTCCGAAAATTTTCTATAAAAAAGAGAAATTTTCCGAAAATTTTCTATAAAAAAGAGACATTTTCCGAAATTTTCTATAAAAAGAAATTTTCCGAAGATTTTCTAAAAAAGAGAAAATTTTCTACAAAAAAGAGAAATTTTCCGAAAATTTTCTATAAAAAAGAAATTTCCGAAAATTTTCTATAAAAAAGAGAAATTTTCCGAAAATTTTTTTCCGAACATTTTCTGTAAAAAAGAAATTTTCCGAAAATTTTCTGTAAAAAATAGAAATATTCCGAAAATTTTTTATAAAAAACAGAAAATTTAAAAATAAAATTTTATAAAAATGTTTTTTTTTTAAATTTTCAAAAAAGGGAAATTTTTAAAAAAAAATTTTATAAAATTTAAAAAAAAAGAATAATTATAAACCTAAATAATAAATAACAATAAATAAATATTTTTAATGCATTTCTAATGCATTTCTCTTTGATGTTCTTCCAGCTGAACAAGTTTAACAAATGTCCTCTCACAGTGACGACACACAAAACAGGGCGGTTTACATTAGCCCTACGCACATGAGCCTCATAACGAGCTTTCTGACGAAAATTGTAACCACATTGTAAACAACTAAAACCCTCTATACTATGTGCCGTTTTATATGAACATTTAAACTTTGTAAATCCATAAATGATTTACCACAGGCATCGCATTGATATAGAGTAGTTAGTGATTCAATTTCTTGCTCGTCATCAATATGATGTGTTTGTTTCATGTGCATACGTAAGGCATAGGCATCTACGTAGCCTTTACCACATTGTGGTATATTACATTTATAGGGCATTTCGCCCATTTTGTGTACGGACAGTAAATGTTTTGTAAATGACAATTTTTAATGAAAGTCTTACCGCATTCTTGACACACGAAATCACGTTTCTTGGGCTGTTGTTCGTGAATAGTGGCTATGTGTTTCCTGCAGCGATTGATTCTTGATGAAGGGTTTGGCATCACATTGGGAACAGCGAAAATTGCCGGCCTTTCAATACCATGCACCGTAGTGAGATGGGTTACGGCATAAGAGCGACATTCGATTCAAATTCATGGCACAGCTCACAGCGGAAATAGAAATTTGGTATGGCTCGGTGATAGGATTTGGGTTACGTTTGCGTACTACTCCAGCGCCGCCTATGAGTTTGAGCGGTTCTTTTACGGGATAATGCGTATTTTGCGTTTTAAATATTGTTCACGACTTCGCACAAAGGTTTTCTTAGGTCTGGAGGTTTTAAAATGACTTTGTATAATAAAGCGGCAGGATTTTCTTCTTCGGGAATTAACAGCTCTTGTTCTTCCAATGGTTCGCTGGTTTTAAACGTGATCTTTTTTTACGTACCTTTTTTTCTTTACACTCCGTTTTATTTACATTGCTGGAAATTTTACTTTTTGCCTTCGTTCTGGGTGAATCCGGCAGAGTAGTTTCCAATATAGATCTACCAGCATTTCAGGTTCTACAAAGTAATGTTGTGAAAAGTTTTCCGACTCCTCTGTTGGTTCACTTAAATCTATTTCCTTTTTACACTCTGCCGCCAACAGCCATTCCTCATTTTGCTGTTCATCACTTTTAGCAGTTTTCTTGTCTTCTAGCAACAATTGTTTTCTTTGGTTTGCTAGCAATTTATGTGATTCCTGGCATTTTTGTATGATATTGTCGGCCCGTATAATGGCCTCAGCACAATCGCGACATATTAAAGCCTGTGGTTCATCAAAAGATGAGATCTAATAAATAATTAGCATAAATATTGATTTTTCCTCATTATTATTCCTCAATTATTATGCCATTATCACCCACTTACCACTACGCCACAAATATTTTCTATGACACTGGGCAAATACTTCTGCTGGACATGCAAATACAGAGAAGTATTGCTGGATTTTGTTTGTAAACAAATGCGACAATAGTTAAATAACTCCGTCATATTTATATTGTCCACCTCAGGCCATTGATTTGTATTTATTTATCGTGATTAATTAACTAAAACATTTTTAATTGATGTTAAACTTCGAAGTGAAGCAAAAAAAAACTTTTTCTTGTTTAAGGTAGCCAGATGAGGTTATAATTTCTACTAAGAAGTTTATGTTTTGGTATAGTTGGGTAACTCTAGTTAATGTTGTTTACGGTAAAAGTGAGTAGCCAGATGGATGTTAATGAAAAAATGCGGTTTTCAAGGTACTTTTAGGAATTTCTCTATAAATAATGAAGTTTTCGTAATTATTCTTAAAAAACTTGCAGTTTTAGTAAAATTCATATAAAAATATAATTTTTCCGAAAAATTTCTATAAAAAAAAAGAATTTTTCAAAAATGTTTTATAGAAAAAGGATTTTACGAAAATTTTTATATAAAAACGAATTTTCCAAAAATATGCTTAAAAGCTAAATTTTTCAAAACAAAAATTTGTTAAAGAAATATATTTCAAGAATACATTCTTTTAAGAACCTGCAAGTAAAACCATATGGCAACTACGTTTTAACAATTCCAATTTGATAAAACTTCCAATTGACATTTATTGCTACAGGTGATTTGACAGCTGTTTCAAATTTAGAATTTTCTATTATAAATTAAGATTTAAATTAAAATTTTACATACAAATTAACAAAAATTTAATTATTGGCAAAAAAAATAATATATTATTCACAGTTAAGCTTTTTTCACCTGTAAATATGACAATAACCTAGTGGCAACATTGTT